TACCTCCACGTGGGGCAGCCTGGGCAACGTATACTCATACAGCAAAAAAGTCTCTCAACCGGCAGTTGACTTCAGATTTCAAACTACCATGACCTCATTGTATGTCTTATTCGATCACTTGCACCATACTTATCCTATTTTTCTCTGCTTTTGTGACTGTCTGTCTCTTTTACATCTGTGAATCACTCTTCTGACTTTGTGTCAGTCTGTCTGTCTCTTTTACATCTGTGAATCACTCTTCTGTCCCCCCTCTCCACTTTTTCTCACTCTGATATTCCTCCTTCCCTCTATGAAGCCCGAAGTCAGCTAACGCGCAAATGATAAGTATCATAAAGCCCGCCATTTGAAATAAATATATATTACCGGCAAATCCAAATCATCAATTGAAAGCGAAGCTTAGAGGGAACGTTAGTTAGAAACTACGGTACAAAGTTTGAAATCCGGGGTTGCAAGAGAACATAAAGAATCTGCAATCAGTGGTATTCCGTCTTGCATCTGATCGGTAATAATTCATTGATCTGCTCTCTTTACTGAGATCCGAATGTTCTTTTTTGAATTTTGCTTGTTTATCAAGCAGAGTACTTAGGCGATGGTGTCGAGACGATTATCGAAAGGAAGTAAAGCTAAATCGAATCAACATAGTCTGAAAAATTCATGGATTTAAGTTATTAACTTCCGTAATGAATATATATAAAGAAATACATTTTATCTTATCTGTGAGGTGTGCGATGGACTTACCTCCACGTGGTGCACCCTGGGAAACGTATGCTCATACGGCAAAAAAGTCTATTTACAAGCAGTTGACTTCTCACTTCAAACTATCATCACCCCACTGTATGTCATATTCGACAACATTCACGGTATTCACCTCACCTTTTTTCTACCCTTATGCCTGTCTTTTTTACATCTTTAAAGCACTCTTCTGTTCCCCCCCCCCTCCTCTCGACCTTTTCGCTTTGATGTTCCTTCCCCTCTGTGAAGCCTGAAGTCAATTAAAGGGCTAATGTTAACTATCAAGATGCCTGCCATTTGGTATATATATATATATATATATATATATCTTATCTGTCATAAGTTTTCATTTTTGGAGTCAATAATGAAGAAAGCTAACTGCCTAGCATCTATTAAAGTACTTTTGATTTGGGAATGACTACTGTCTGTTCTCCTAATAACCCATTAGTTGTCAACATAAATCCTACAATCTCACTTAAACACTCTGGAGACGCATATCCGACATAATATAAATGTCAGACAGTTCAAAATGAAACCCCCATCCTCAACCCCCCCCCCCCCCCTCTTTGAGTGACAGGAAAAAATCACCATAATTTCGAGCGTAGAATCCTTTTTTTAAATCGCGCCTTTGACACGACTTTTTTCAAAAAAAAACAAATTCCAATCTGCTTTCGTTGACTGATTGGTAATTAAGACCAATTTATTAAAACACAGTCATTATAACTCGATTTTTTCCCAATAGACATTACTAATTAGAGATATAATTAAATTTAATCTGATCTTATTTTTATCATATCCTACTAAAAAAACACTGTTTATGCCATATATCACAACTCTATTTCGCGCTAATGTGAAATCAGATAACAACCTCTACGGGGCCAGAATTGCCTCGTTAGTTTGAAATACATAGTTGGGTGAGCATGAGATAGAGAGAGTGGGGGAAATTCATATTTTTATTCATTTTTTTACTAAAACAATTTTTTATTTTGGCATCATGAAGCCGAAAAAAGGGGGCATTTATAAATATGCTCAGCCAAAGAAGAGGCCAATTAAACAGTTTAATTCTAATATATATTATTATTCATTGTCGTTATGCACAAACATTTCCTAGCAATTAAATTTTCTTCCCCATAAAAAAACACACATCTAATTGTGATGATAGCCTATTGTTTTATTTCATAAATATCTCAAATAATAGGGGGAGGCCAATTGTTTCAGAAATATTTTCTTTTTGATGGATTGCTCTCTCTACGGGTAACTAGGGTCATGTGATAATTTTTAAATCAGAGATAAGTTTTTATTCCATTCGCATGAGCGCAACACATACGGTATATTTAGTTCCTGGTAATCACGATGTTGCATCAAACCAAGCAGGTTTGATTTAGTTTACTCCCATCTTCTCTGAGGACAGTTCGTTACAAGTCTTTTTCATCCATACCTTCAGAACCTCCTGAAAGCTTTCATTCTATTGATATTGACGCTCGTTTTTTGGTGAAATGTAGAGAGAATTCATAGTTTTTTTATTGAGGGGAAATGTCCGCATTATATTATATTATGCGGGGTGTGCGATAGACTTACCTCCAAGTGGTGCACCCTGGGCAACGTATACTCATAAGGCAAAAGGTCTATAAACCGACAGTTGACTTCTAACTACCATGATCCCATTGTATGTCATATTCAACAACTTCCCAGTACTCATCTCACCTTTTCTCTACCTTGTGTCTGTCTGTCTCTTCTACATCTGTGAATCACTCTTTTGTTCCCCCTCTCGAATTTTTCACACTTTGATGTTCCTCCTCCCCATTGTGAAGCCCGAAGTCAGCTAAATGGCTAATTATAACTATTCAAAACTCCTGCCATTTGAAATAATAATATTATACTATGTTTCTCATTTTGGCAAATATATCCTGTATCAAGAATTTCTCCTCCGTTTAGACAAATTCAGTGGGTCGACTCATCAAGGGATTTGAGATAGTGCTATTTTATGGGCAAGAGAATTAGAAGTCTAACAATGTGTCCCCAAAACTAGGTCTATCGCTAGGTCTTGATACAATCTACAAAAATAAACAAGTGGGATGTACTTTCCTTTATAATTGTTTGCCTATCTCATAAAAGGGTGAACATTTTGCTGAAGCTTTTGGTACAGGCATAGTGTTATCCGTGTGGGAATTGGAAACATCAAAGCTTTGATAAATTTTTACACCTTCAAGGATTTTTGACACTATAAGTAAATGATTTGTCAATGCCAAGCGCATATTTATTGAAATACACTGAAAAATATTTGATACAAACTTATGGATCAAAAGCAGGGACTTTCATTCGATTTTTCTAAAAAAATCTGTCGTATCAACTTCTAATGAGGATAAGAAAGAGAAGTATCAAAATGTCATAGCTTTCTTACGCTTAAATGAACAATTATTGCAGATAATTTGCTTTTTTGTAAACCATGTCAATTTCTTTGCAGATTACATAGCTGGTAATTGCAAAATTTGGGAGAACTTCGAAAGGAATCCAAGTGAGAAAATAAGCGCTAAGACATAACTGTAAATTTAATGAGAGTTACCTCCACGTGGTGCACCCTGGGCAACGTACACTCCTACTTCAAAAAAGTCTATAAACCGGCAATTGACTTCTGACTTCTAACTACCATGACCCCACTGTATGTCATAGGCGAACACTTCTACAGTACTCCTCTTATCTTTTTCTCTACCTTTGTGTCTATTTGCCTTTTTTACATCTGTGAATCGCTCTTCTCTTCCCCACCCCTCAACTTTCTGCTACTCTGATGAACCTTCCCTCTATGGCAAATGATAGCTATCAAAACGCCTGTCTATCTCTTTTACATCTTTGAAACACTCTTCTGGTCCTTCTCTTGAATTTTTCTCACTTTGTTGTTCCTGTAAAACCCGAAGTCAGCTAAAGGGCTAATGGTAACTATCAAAACGCCTGCCATTTGAAATAAATAAATAACTTAAATGGGAATTTAAAATGATTTACGGTGGCATCCGTCTATATGATATTATCATTTTATTTGATAGTGGTTGCCTATTATTATTGAATTATGAAGGAAAGAATGGTAGACTTCAAGGCGTTGGTCAAAGATAGGAACTATTGTTTTAATGATAACAGGTTGGGAATCCGGATAATTTTAGGCTTCGTCAAATCATAATTCCAAAGGTAAGTTGACAAGATGTCGACTCTAACTATGGGCCGATCGGCGCACTTTTTACGAGCACATTTTTCTCGTGTACATTTACCTTTTTCTGTACTTAATTCCTGTCATTCCTAGGAGTTTAATGAAAAAATAATAGTTTTTTTGAATTTTTATTAAAATCAACGCGAAGTGCCGCAAATGCTGATTTACAGTCCTAATTATTATTTGTTGTTACAGTTCAAAAAACGTATACCCATACGGCAAAAAATTCTTTTAACCGGCAACTGACTTCTCGCTTCAAACTACCATCACCCCATTGTATGTCATATTCGACTACTTCACAGTACTCACCTCACCTTTCTTCTACCTTCGTCTTTGAAACACTCTTCTGTTCCCCCCTCTCGACTTTTTTCACTTTGATGTACCTTTCCCTCTGTGAAGCCTAAAGTCAACTAAAGGGCCTGCCATTTGATACAAATAAATATTTCAAACAATACGCATACTATCCCTAAAATCCTCAAGTATAATCATATTATTGCTTTTGCGGAGAATGTTTTATTTGCCAGAGATAAGTGAAACCCCTGTGTAAATATGTAAATATTATTTGCTAAAGCGCTTTCATTTGGCTGCGGTTGCACTTTCAGAAAAAATCTTATTTACCCCTCCAGCTAATTACGTGTTTCTATTCCACATTGAAGCGTGTCAGTTGCTTTTCTGCTCGAGAAAATTCACTCACCAATTCGCCACTGTTTTTCTCGAAGCGATGTTGAGAATTCCACAGAGAATGAGCATTCGTGATATTCCAAAATCACCTTCGTGGGTAGAATAGATGGTGTCCAAGTGAAGACTTCCATCATGATACGCAGTCCACAAGCCACTGAGTCCACTATGTCGATACCTACAGTCAAGAAAAAAATAAGGAATGTGGAGCATATGTACACCTGTTTAAATAGCACTTGCATGCATAAAAGTTAAAAAAAAGAATTATGAACTTTTGGTAATATGTGGGGAATAAACGGAACAGTAAGTATATCATTAAAAATATGTGGTTCACTTTCCAGCTACAACCTCACAAATAAGATCCCGAATGGGAAAAGNTTGTGCAAATATTCCTTTAGTGCATTTGAACGTGAATGCGACAACAAACTACTCTATTGGAAATTGAAATTACAGTTATGAGAAAATCGATTTTCACGTACTCAAATTCACCACCCTCCAGATTGTACAATAGTAAGTTGGTAGAATGAATTATGATGAATAGGCTGAGTTTTCAGTACATTCCCTAAGTAATGTTGTTCAGAGTGTTACTCTGTACCACTATCAAAATAACGCCCAATTTCGTAAATTAGTTCAAAACATCTAAATTCCTGAACTGGACATTAATGGGAAAAATAGAGTAATCTATTCGGATTTCAAGATGAATGAAAACTTTATTGCATGACACAATTAGATAGATAAACATGTGACAATGAAAGTATTGACAGACTTTCTAATGGGGGGAGTGCGATAGACTAACCCCCACGTGTTGCACTCTGGGCAAAGTATATTCATACGGCGAAAAAGTCTTCTTACTTCAAACTGCCATGACCCCACTGTATGCCATATTCGACTACTTCCACAGTACTCACCTCACCTTTTTCTACCTTTGTGTCTGTTTCTTTTACATTTTTGAAACACTGTTCTGTTCTCCCCTATCGACTTTTTTCAATTTGATGTTCCTTCCCCTCTGTGAAGCCTGAAGTCAACTAAAGGGCTAATGATAACAATCAAGACGCCTGCCATTTAATATAAATAAATAAATAACTTTCTAATGGCGATAAAATATCTTTGATAAAGATTTTCATTGGTCACCTTTAGAGTAAATTTAGCCCATAAGATTTCAGGTGGTGGGAATCCTTCGGCCTTACAGCTCCGCAAAACCTCAAGGAAGGCAATCCGTTTGTCAGGGTGTTTGTCCGGCTTCTGTGTGAAGTATGGACGAACTAAAAGCAATCACAAATAAATTATTATTAAAAAAAACAATTAAAACGAATTTGGAAGGATTCTACTTGCGGTTGTAGATTATGCTTTAAAGTTGAATGCCGGCTAATAGACCTTTTAGGTGTATGAGTATACGTTGCCCAGGATGCACCACGTGGAGGTAAGTCTATCGCACACCCCAACCAAAACAAGAGTAACATTTTGGGAATAGTTTCAGTATTTTTTCGGAAGAAATAATCTAGACTAACAAGGTGATTTTTTAATAATGACCTTCGAGAAGAAATGACGCACGATAATGCAATGACAGATTTCTGTCAACATTGTCAAAGCATTCTGAACGAAAATCACAGTTATCCTATCATAAATATGCATCATTTCGGTGAGAAAAACACTTTGTGAGTATGTGAAAACATCGTGCAAGAACGCTACGTCCTATCTTTTACAAGATGTATTTGCACCTTTTAAGCAACAAGAATAAGTTTTTTATCCAAAATGACGACCCCCTATCGAAAAAACATGTAATAACTTATTTAGGGGCGGATTTACGGTAATTGATTGGCTAATTGGTTGATCGATATTGTGAGCGATGGATTTCTTGTTAGTAGAATTCCAATAGTCGATTGTACAATATATGCGACCCGAACATACCAGAAATAATCGAGTATGCTCCCGAGGTGAGTCTAAAATATACCAAGACTTTGGATATGCTTCATTCATAGTGGTACATGGCACAAGTTTGGATAAAAACTGCATCAAGCTTGTTTATTAACGGTTTTCATTACTTTTCTTAGAAAAAGGTAAAGTAAAATAAAGCAGCTCGTCTGAGCAATTCATTTTCTATTACCTTTTTTTGCCCGGGATTATTCACCCCGTTTGAGCACTCACACCACTCTATTTACCCTACTAAGGGGTGTGCGATAGACTTCTACATGGTGCACCCTGGGCAACGTATACTCATACGGCAAAAATTGCTATAAACCGAAAGTTGACTTCTGAGTTCAAACTATCATGACCCCACTGTATGTCATATTTGACTTCTTCTACATTACCCACCTCACCTTTTTCTACCTTTATGTCTGTCTCTTTTACATCTTTGAAACACTCTCCTGTTCCCCCCCCCCCAATTCGAATTGTTCTCACTTTGATGTTCCTTCCTCGTTGTGAAGTCGGAAGTCAACTAAAGGGCTAATGATAACTATCAAAAGGCTTGCATTTGGTATAAATAAATTTACCCCACTAAAAATGGTTTCCGTGTCTATTGAGTTTGCAGACGTGCACATTGGCCACAGTTCTACTGACTTGTATGACATTTACTCTTCGAATCGTAATACCGAGCCCGATCAAGAATGGCAGTCTTGACAAGTAATCGGACGCAAAATAGAAGAATTCGCATTCTTCAAAAAAGGAATAATTGAAGAAAACTTTTACTCCGTTCATTAATAATCCTGTTCGAGGCACTTAGATGGTCAAATTTCCTAAAATGGAATCGAATTCTCCTTCTGTGGATATTAAGACGTCCTTCTTAATAAAGAAACTATAGAACATAAAATTTAATACAAGAAAACAACGCAAAATATAATATCAGTAAACTATTTTTCGATCAAATGATACTGCACCTTTGGAAGCTCACTTCAGTTGCAAATTCTGAATTAATTTGAAAATGATGCAATAAATGGTGCCATTGTTATTTATAAATTTAATAATACAAATTACTTAAATAATTCGAATTAATTGGCGGTAAAGAGTTATATGTGGGACTTATAATCGAATCATAAAACACCAAAGGCGATAATTTAATTTATTTGAAGAAATTGTATTCAATTAGCAAAGTGGTTCACACAGTTTGGCACACGATTTATAATAAAAGATAAATATTATTTTAATTAAATTAAACCTAATTTTGCTTTATTATTGATTTTTTGTTTAAAAAACGCCAAATAGAATGTTAATTGTCAAGTTGACTTTATGGTATTCGACTATTGAATAGGAATTTTTGATAGCTAAATTGCAATCAATTATCACTAACTTATTGCAAGAGAAAAATGGTTGTTGGACGTCAATAAGTACTTTCGCGTAACTTTTAGTTAATTTTATCTTCAATTCCATTTGTTTATTGGCGTATTTGAATTTGTTCTCATGAAATGCTACTCCATTTTTGATAAGATCGATATCTATCGATTGAACTAACAACACGAGGCTCCATTTTCACGGCCTTGGAAGTTACGTTCTATTAAATTAGAATTTGTCCAGTGTTAATCGGTTGGAAGCAGTAGGGTAGGCGTTTCATACTGTTGTCGCGTAATGCACTTCGACTAACCTCTAGTATTAAAAGCCTAATCGTACACGAGA